ATACGAATTTCTACGAGATTATTTGACTTGCATGACGATCGATTATTACCAAAGACACCACTAGTCGTCTTTAAACGAAAGGATTATTTTTTAGCAATATTACATACGTATCTATATATATATATCATTCCTTCATCGTTTCATTTTTCTCTGCTCCAAGCCATTTTACCAAAAAAAGAAAAAAAGAAAGAAAAGAAATCTAGCCGCCTAGACTATTTATTATTCTTATCACAATTTCTTTACGACTTTTCATTTCCAACGAAGGTGAGAGACTATTAAGTGTGCATCGATATCGAGCTCGGTTTTGTCTCCTCGATCATTGCTTCTGCAAGCGAAAAATAATCCTGTCCCTGCCTATTATAAGTGACTACCATTAAACTTCGGTCTAACAGCCTGGCATGTTGAAACATCTTTACTTACTATCAGCTCATGTGAGTCTCCATCTCATGCGCTACAAGTCAGGCTAAACTAATCGTAATAAACGAGAAGACTTATTTATACATAGATTGCATGAATTAATCTCGTTTACGACAAATTGTAATTTTTTCGTTTTTCTTTTGCGAAGATACATTTCACAGTTTCTAAATAGTTCTTCAGGGCTATTATGTGAGATTCGTACCAAAAAAAAACAAAAAAGAGAAAAAATATATATACTTTCGTATCGCGTCATCTCGCGACGGTAGAAAAGAGAAAAATACGAGACAAAAAAAAAAACAAAAAGAAACGACCAAAAAAGAAAAAAGTGCAATAAACCTAAAAAAAAAAAAAAGAATGACCTGTTGGTAAGGTTCAGCTTATACATAACAGCCCCGACTACTTGAATCCCTCCTGGAGCCTTGTATTTTACAGCATGCTCCTTTTTAGTCTACCAATACCCGATAAATGTTCGACGAACAGATAAGTCTTGGAATAATTTTCATGTCGATAGTTGGCACGAGTTTATGGCGCTGTACTGTGCGACTGCATGTGTTTAGTGCTTACATTTACTGTTTGGCGTACAAATCATTTTCTGAGTTCTATACAAAGCGATATATATATATATACATAGATATATATTTTATCTCGATAGGCAAATGCAGCAAGAGCCGCTTTGCATAATCTCCCATCATCGTTCGCGCAAGATAAAAGCAAAAAAAAAAAAAAAAAAAATAATGTTAACGTGAAGCGTGGAAAGCAACTTTTCCGTTCACGTTCCCTTGTTTGATCAGTGCAGCTCTTGATAAACTCGCAAGCTACGCAATTATTTTTCTCTCTTTATCTTTATCTCTTCTTTCGTTTACTTAGTTTTCTCCCCTTTGTTTCTTTATCGTTGAATTTACGCTGAAACGAAGGTTTTGCCGAAACATTCGATGAATTTGTTCACAAGCTTCTATATACATGTACATTCTACATTATATATGAATGAATTCCAGAACCGATAGTCGGTCTATATATTCGTTGCTTATGGTTTAGTCAAGTTTTTTCTTTTTTATTCAATTTGACCGTACACACCGCTAGTTTGATAAACGACATAGAATTAGTCTTAACAAGCCAATCTTATCTCCTTGTCTTTTATGAACGAATGACCGCTGTTTATAATCATTTTCTGATTGTGTATGTTTCAATTTTTTACGTGTCAGTAAAAGCATTTCTATGTGATCATCGATATTATATATTACATATGTACCACCTGTTTTGTATCTCTCGAATCGCTTAGGCAAAAGTTCTGGTAGATGGGTGAAAACACGGCTGTTGTATATTAACAAATTTCACTAAATTAACAATTTATAATACAGCTTGCTTCAATTCTACACACCGTTCAGATTAATGTTAAGATTCTCGAACAATTAGTTCGACGATTCACCTCGAATCAGTTATTCGACGATTACAAAAAATCCGAGGAAAAATCAGTCTCTGTCGTTAGGTTGAAAAAGAAAAGAAACACTAAAGAGAAGAGACCGGTTTTCACGACGCTAACAATCACTTGTTCTCGAAATATCCATTCCTCGACGCAATATCGACACTCTTTTTTTATTCTCGCTTCTTCGAGGCATCTCTGCCGGAAAATTTGATTAATCATTCGCACGACGGATACAGTCCGCTTTGTTTACAACGGTGTGCAACGGGCTAATACACCGCGCATCGAATTTTTATCGTCAGACGACGACCGATTGTCAAGCTCTCGACACGGCAGCTTGATAAAACGAGCGTTCTTCCGAATTTCGCGAGAGGATTACGATTTTTTTCATGGGGAATCTACGACGATCCGTTTTTTTCCTCGCCAAAATGTACACTTCCGTCCGTGAATCATGAGACACCATCTGACCGTTTCACGATAAATCAAGCTTAGATGAAAGATTTAGTTACTCATCTCGATACGAGCTGGTCTACTGATAACAACTATATTTCTATCGATATGGCTGGTATTTTGTTATAATTAAAAAAAAAAAAACTGAAATATTTACAACGAGGTTCAACACCAGAAATTATTAAAAAGACACATTTGGAGCGATCCTGGAGAGCTGGCATCGCGAAACGAATGGCGTACATTGACGAGAAAATTCAAAACTTTGTATGTATTGTACGATTGCAAAAGTTCGCGCCCGATTTGAAAAATAAAACACAAGCGGTGTCTGCAAAAGCACATTTCATTTGAAACTAAATCTTTCGATAGGAATGTAACGACGTTAGAACAAACATCTGTACCGAAGTCGATAAGTTTCGCGCCACCTCTGAAAATCGGGCACGAACCTTTGCAATCCTTCAATACAATTTTCCATATATTTCAACGTTAAAAAACTAATATTCTCTGCAAATAATCTACAGATAATCGTTTCATTTAACAAGCGTCAATTTAAATTAGTAAATTAGTAGGTGTCCCATGACTAATAGACGGCGGTGCAATCTAATCTCTCTACGCAGGATGCATAAAACGCGTGTGTCCGTCGTTGTTACAGAGTGAAAAAAGAAAAGAAAAAAAGAAAGCATACTTTTTAACGTACGCGTGTCGTACGAACTAGGATTTCTCTGTCTCTCTTTCTGTCTCTCTATCTATCTATCTATCTATCTATCTCTCTCTCTCTCTCTCTGAAAATCGAACACAAAACAAAACAAACCGATTCGAGGCTCGATGGCCATGTAACATTATTATATTGCAGGGAAGAGGAGCTCGCCACTAACTCTAGCAAGGAGACCGTCCTATCTGACGCCACCACTGCCAACCATACCCACGCTACTGACAAACCATAAATAATAATAAAAAAAAAAAAAAGAAAAGAAACCTAATAATAATCGAGAACGATTCTAATCGAAGGCCATTCACTGCAAAAAACAATAATAAACAAAAACACATAAAAGAATAAGATACTATACTACTAGATTCTCGTATCCAGTCAATCTAATGGAATAATTGTTATCGGCAACGATTTAGCATATTCGTAGCACACAAGAAACTGATATGAAATATCATTGTATCACTGACTACACACACACACACACACACACACACGCAGATACATTAACGTGTACACGTTTAAATACTGAAGAAAGAAAAAAAAATCAACTTTTTTGAAACACTCGTTACCAATATATACATAATATACATATTATTATTAAATGAACGAATATTTCGGCATCACCGATAAAAGATCGTATACATAATATACATATATTCTATGTTGTAAAATAAATCTGTTTGTTTATTTAATTACCGGTTTCAGTTCTCTTCCACTCGTACATGCGACCTCGACGTGGAGTTTCTTTTTTATCATTGGTCAAGCTTTTTGACCTAATTTCCGTTTACCTTGCAGGAAAAGTCAATTAAGAGTTTTATTCGTCACGCCGTGGAGAGATCGAAATGTCCTGGTGCGGGCGGCGGTGCTTTACTTTCTTATCTTTCTCTGTGTGTGTGTCTTTATTTATTTTTTTTTCTCTCCATTTTTCTCTCTCTTTCGTTTCCCCCGACGAGCAACGTCTGTCTATTATCTCAATACCTAACGAGTAGTCCGCGGCGGACGATTCCAAAGTAACAAAAAGAAAAGAAAAGAGTAAGTTGTGTTGGCGATATTTTTCAAGTACATGTTTGAAGTCTACTACACAGGCCAGTGAACCACTGTAATCCTACAAGGCTAGAAACTGTGAAATGAATTTATCATTTCTTGAGAAAAGTAATTGAAAAAGAGAAAAGAAGGATCTACGCGCAGATCGAGTGAACTTTCCTTTGAAGAAACGTACTCTCTCACTCTCTCTCTCTCTCTCTCTCCCCCTATCACTCTCTCTCTCTCTCTCTCTCTCTCTCTTTCACGAGGTAGAAAATGAACGAAAAATAGGCAAAATTAAAGTTCGACTAATGGTAGCTTTGTGCAAAAGGGGTGCTGTTACAATGTGCCACAGAACAAAAATACAAAAAGATACAAATCTATTCGTAATCGTTAAATTAAAGTAAAAGAAAAGAAGAACGGTCTGCTACATCACAAACCTTTGAAAATTTTCAAATTCAAATCCAAGTCAATTAGGACAAAGTAAGAAAAGGAAAAAAAAAAAAAAGAAACCGGATATGTAACTTACTGTTGACGAGTTGTTGATAAAAGCCGCGGTACTATTTTCTCATGGTCCTACAACGTCGGTGCATGTTGAATCGATGCCCTCGACGAACATCTGGAATGTAATAAGAGAAGGAAAGATTCACTAGACATGTATGAAGAAGCGGAAACTTGGACAAGTCGCGTGATGTTTTGCAGGAGCATGCTAAACTGTGTGAATGCATTAGAGGGACACATACCGCCAGCAGAGAGTGCAGCCCTGATGGTGGCCGAGGAGAAGCCACATCCTGATTCATGTAAGGCTTAAAAACGTGACCAAGATCGCCCACAATCATCTGTCACCATAGCCACTTCCGTCTTTATACGGCAAACAATTCTTTACATTCTTTTTCTCTCCTTTAAAAACATTTTCTCCTCGTTTTAACCACCGACGCGTGTCGTATTTTTAGTTAAAATAAAAATACTCTAATATTCTATATTCTCTAAAATATTTCATATTCTCTAAAACATTTGATATTCTAATATTTTATGTTTTATAAAATTCTAGAAAAATATACATATATTCGTCAATTCGTGGTATGTATTCATGTGTCGTATACCATATGTTTAGCAAATTTGAAAAGAATCGTTTGCCACCTATCGCTTATTCCATCTACCTCTCATTGTGCATGTCATAATGCCCATCTATGTATGTTTGTAAAATTTTGTTTATTTGTAGTTTCATTGTGAATACATACGTTTCTAATTTATTTGCGACTATTATTTTTCTGCTTTCAGTATGATTGAAAAGAGCAGAGGAATCAAAGTGCTGATTATATGAAATCAAAAATTACAATTGCTGCTTCGCTACTACAAGACATACGAGTGGTCCTAGCAGAGAACAATATCACACTACCTATATATTTTCGTGTTGACAATAGCAAATTAGAGGAGTGCAATCGAACATTATTCTATTGTAAATGAACAGGAAGCCACTTTAAAACCGTATACCACTGATTACAGATGTACTATACACACACACACATATATACATATATATAAGACGTTTACAAGTTTCAAATTCAAATTAACATCGGCAACTCTTGTAAAATCTCCATTCTCCAAAAATCTTTCTTTCCAATTAATCGTCTTTTATGGTAAGAAACTCACACCTGTAGAAAATTTTAACGATCTGATAAAAATCAGTGTGATCGAAATCTTCGATCAATTTTTCCTAATGAAATATACATATATATCATTCATTGTGTAACATTCTTTTTCCAGGAGAAAAAAAAAAAAAAAAAAAAAGAAAGAAACAGTTGGAACAGAAATTAATCAGTTAATCAATTATCGAGATACTTTTAATTGTCTCAAATTCACGTTCACATTTATTGTAACTATATTTGCATTCCATCGGTCATAGTTCTATTTTGGCTTTTCATTGACTCGCACCGCTTCAGCCAAACACTCACACACCGTACACTCAATTAAAAGTTGAATATAGTTGAACTGTACTTTCATTTGCAACATAGAGCTTATATTTCTGACATTATAACATATATGTGAATACAAATCATAGATATTGTAAATATTAACAGTGCATTGTGAATAGATAGTAGATGTGCAACAATTTTATTGCAATACCATTTTTTCTTTCCGTTTTTTATATATGTATATCATAGTTGAACAAACTCTCAGCATTATAAGCTCTATCATTTATATATACATATTATATATAAATATATGTCTCCCTTCTGTCATCTGTGTGCAGTATGATAATCTGTTGCCCTGTTATACATATACATATACCTGATTCTAGTCAATTCTAAGTATTCCTATGATTCTTATAAATAAAATTCCTAGATATATTGGCTTCATTTTCATTCTAAGAGTATACATATAAAATATGTATGCGCTATTTTAACACTGGCCTTTGTAGTAGTTTAAATGGAGGTAGGCCATTAAGGATCTCTCGTTAACACAATGTATGGTCTCCGCAACATCAATTTGTAAATGTAAAAAGGCATACATGAACGAGGAGTCATATGAGAATGTTAAAGATTTGAAAAAGAAAAGAAAAGAAACAAATTATATCACATTATCATTATTTTTTTATATGAAACTGTAAAACCGACTTCAATACTACCGCAGTTGGAGCATGAATGGTGTAATGGGCATGTCCGCATGAATGTAATTTACTTTTATTTAGATTAAAAAGAAGAAGAGAAAAACAAAAAAAGAAAAAAAAACTGAAAGAAAGAAGGATTTCTGAAATAGTATAATGTTAACCTTGCGCATTTCTTTCTTTCGAAACTCTCGTATCTCCTTCGGCTTGTTATTTCATGTGATTCAAATGCTATAATGATCGAAAATAGAGAGGCACAGTTTTCCCGTTGATCATACAGGCATCAGTATAATTGAAACAAGTAATGTACCTAACTCATGCTAAAGATAATTAAGCCTTTCAGACACACGATTCACCATATTTCCGGTGAATGCAAATAATGTTCGAAACCAAACATTATATGTATCTAATTACCTACACCAATTACTGTTCATAAGAGCACATCACACAAATGCTTGTAATCGTAATGTTAAGAATTTTTGTACATTGTGTTTTCCAGGTATTTTTTGACATACATCACAGTATTTCGAAAATAATCGAGTGGAAAACATTCATCGTGAAGAATGCTATTATTTTTTAATAATTTTACAATAACCAATGATCCTTGTGTGATATTTTCAGGATGCAGACTACAGACTAACTAAACTCTTTCGTATTTAGACGCACCGAAACAATAATATTTCATTTCGAATACAAATGCTAGGTATTCAAATGGAGGAAATTGCATATTTTCATTTTTGCAAACAAAAAACTATCGATAATATTAAACTAACACACAGGTACATATATACATGTATTTACCATATTTCTTAATATATGCAAACCCTCGGTTTTTCACAAGCACAACAATTTTTTAATCACTGGCAATTTATCACGGAAGTTACACACTTACCATAAACACACCAACACTCCCTTATCTACCCTAATCGACTAACCACAATCGTCTAATATAAAACAGCCAACTGAAAAAAAAAAAAGAAGGAAAATTACTCCCATTCACGATTATATACCACAAGCTACAATAACAATGTTTTGATTTCAGTAATACGAATCATTTCACCCTGATCTCGACATATAGATCGATATCATCCAACAAAATATATACGAACGACTCTCGATGGAACAATTCTTTAGCCGATCTAACCAAAATATGAATTTCCCTTAGAGAGCAAAAAGAAAAAAACTGAAAAAAAAAAAACAAAGAAATTTCTTTCTACAAGAATCGTAGAGGCTTGCTATTTGTCGTCTTCTAAATTGAAACGGTTTGGTAGATTGAATGCGAATCAAGTAGTGTAACAATGTTATGTGAACTCGAAAATGAGAGAAAAAGATATGTTCATCTGATTAATGTTGGTGAACAGTTGTGTTTGCAGCTGGATCAGAGCGATCTTCCGGCGCACCCGCTCAACCGGCGAGACCACCGCCCCCGCTTCCCCCGCCACGCTTTCCGAGCAGCGGTGTCTGACAATGGGAAACAGCTCCTCTTAATATCGGTAATCTAGTGATCATGAACGCGTCGATCCCACTGCCGCTACTGCTCACCACCACCACCAACAGCCTAACATTGGAGAATCAACTGTACGAGATCATCACGGAGAGGAGCAAGGCCTGCGCGGCTTTCTTGCGGAACAGCCTACGTCGTGCAGTGAACGCGACAACAATCGCCTGGAGTGTCACGGAGAATTTCGAGAGTAACGTATCGTGCAATCATGCCTGATTCACACAACCTCAACGAAGATCACACCTGTTCATTGTTGCCGGAATATGAATACCGTGGATACAACAATGGAGAGTCGATCGTGAAAACCGTTCGTTTAAACGCGACCCGGTTCTACACCTTCCACGCGCGCCGTGTATCGAGTATATGGCTTTGTATACCTCGCGTAGAAAACGCGGGGTTATTTTCTCAGCTACGAATATATATATTTCTCTAGCACGCCTGATCTGAAGAGAAAAAGTAAAAAACGTTCTTGGTTTCCGCGAATTTGTTGGAAGAAACGATTACGTAAAAGAGGAAAAAAAGCACACAAAAAACGGAGTTTAGAGTGACAGTAAAAAGTGAGAGAGGAACGGGGAGATCGAATACACGTGAAAAGACACGTTTCGATGGGTTGTTTCGGGATGTTTTTGTAGGGCGATGCAAACGCACGCGAATCTTTTACCACGTTCGAACGAGAGAAAGATATTAGTATAGAGATTAGTGATCGAAAAGAGCCTCGAGAGAGAGAAAAAGTAAAAAAAAAAGTATCTAACGAAATGTTGCGAAAGTGATTGTGCCTAGACGTACGTTTGAAAGAAGCAAAAAAGAGAAAAAAAGAAATAAAAATAAAAGGTAACGAAAAAGCGCGTAAAAAAATGTTGGACCGTGATTACGTAATAAATGAATTTGAACTTCGTGCGACATCGAAGAATATAGAACGTATAACTGCTAGACGCGACGAATCGTTTAAAACGAAACCCCAGAGAAATAAAGAAGAAGAAAAAAGATAAAAAACACGGTGTATATCTATAAACTTCACTAATTATATCATTAATTTCATAGGATTTATTGGAATTACATGTCATTTTGTATCACTGTCGTCTTTATAACTCGTTGCACTGTACTATGATTATACGTTATGTGTTTATTGATATAAAATTGAATTCGGTGAATTTTACGGCTGACGTTAAGAGAAAAATTATCGGATCTGGTATCGACCAACATCCTTCACTCGAGACACTCAACTGAAATACGAACACTCGGTCTTGTCACTTTAATAATCGCAGTGTTAAAGACGTTAACTACAATAACGTCCTTCTTATACGGTGCCTCATAAAAAACCACATTTACAAATCGATAAATCATTTTATCTTATAAAAAGTACGAGGACTTGACGATACAAACGAACGGGTGTCAGCTGATACGATAGTGAGCTTCGAATTGTGCGCATGCGCACATTTATTCCAATGGATAATTGCTTTGAAAGTCTAAACAGATTTCATTTTCCTCAAACTTTATACAGATATTCGACAAGCTAACTGATCACTACTGAGATATCGAATGAAACATGCAACTTGGATTAAATTTTAGTTTAGAAATTTTAAATAACAGTTTTAATAACAAGTATATACATATATATATAAGACGTCTACACAGTAAATAAATCAGACCCCTTCGTTTGAACCAGATAATTCTACGATACCTCGTACGTTCAGAGGCATGCCTTTTCTTACTACCTTTTATCGTTAACGTTTTACACCAAAATGCACGTCATTTGATGTTACGCAAACTCTTCGGGAAATACTTCCCTTATATGTATATAAGTGTATATACTGTATACTTCTATCGTACTTACCACATCGTTGCATAAGGAGTTGTATGATAATCCTATACTATTCGATATAGTACATTCAATCCTCTATTAACGAGAGCGTTACATGAAAATTAAGTATGTCGTTCGAGCGATATACCTACTCGATGCTGACACAAAACCGTTTCAACCGATCGCTTTAATCGAACTAAGGCGGACATTGACCGGAAGCACTGTACACTGTTTCAAGCGCCCCCTTTCTGTTGGCTAATGAACAACATTTGAAATTACGTTTATGTCAAAGATTAGATTGAACAATTTATAAAATAGACCTTATACAATGCCACGAAAACGATTCGAGTTTTAGTTAGAGAAATATTTAGAAGGTTATTTAAACTATTTTAGATTGTTTGGTTAGTTTGTTGCTTGTATGTAATGTCACACAATATCTAATTGGACTATATACACGGTTTAGACTATTTTTTGTTCCCGAGTTACCTTCAGAAGTGAACTAATAAGCACTAAAGAATCCACTGACTCGGTCGGTAAACTCTCTTCCGCGTTAGCTTCTATTGAATAAATGAAATAAGCTCGAAATCGGTTTGCTGATTAAATATTGCGGTATAATCGCGACATGATATGTAGAATAGAATGAAAAGAAATTAAAATAAAATAACATCGTGTGCAGTGAATCGTACATGTTATAATTTAACGAGCAAAAAAAAAAAGAAGAAGCAAGATAAAGGAAAAACTTTTAATTGTAAGCTGTCCAAATCATACAGAATCAGTGAGAAAGGCAATAAAAGCTACTGAACTGAAGAAGAATATGCTAAAGTAGATTTCCTTGCATTATAGTATTATCAGAATTCCAACTATTGATTATGGATACTTAGGCTAGGAATATAACATACGTACATAGCTACTAGTTTATAGTAGCACGATGTGTAACAGGCTAATGATAACGATCGCAAAACTTCGTTAATATCATACACGTATGTCGAACAGAGAATTAACTGTACGTTTTCCCACTCGTGTTATGGCTGTACAATAATCGCGGACCGAGTGCTGGTAGCATATCCATTTTTTAAAATCATTAAAAGCTTAAAACACGATACTTATACTTAAATAACCGTAGTTGCAATTACTCCGACTCAAACTAACTATGCGTCAGATCGGTGAGGTCGACGAGTCGAATTCGAAGAAAAGAAAAAAAAAACACACACACACAACTGTATCGCGTTAGAAAAGGTATTTTAAGCCATATGGAAGGTTTTACTTTTCACACGTCTTGACATTTTTTAAGCTAAATGTAATTAGCGATAGAAACTATTCAGAAATTACTAGACGTGAATTCAAATTTAACTGCGTTGCAAAAATTCGAACTTTTTATGATTTTGTTGTTGTTGTCCTTGTTGAGAAAAGGCATGCTGTGATATATATATACATTCATTGAACATCTCGAAGCAAACACGAAATTATCAGCATACATCTAAAAAGACGAAAAAAGCAAAAAAAAAAAAAACGATAATCTATGGAAGATTTTTCTACTTTCGTCACGATTGATGAAGTTATAATTAGTGTCGTTAGATAAATATTACGATGAAATGCAGTTATGCCACGTACACACGACACGAAAATGCACGTACGCAAAATACGAGACGTTTCTCTTGTTTTCGGTCTAAAAGTAATGTGTAGGTGTTCAAAGTGCTTTCAAAAATGAAGAAAAACACTTCCTCGTACCAGAAAAATTAATTTCACTATAATTCATTCACACATAACGATATAATAAGTAACTCGTTTCTAAAACTGTAATATTATGCATATATACATATACATATTATATACGAACGGTAACCTTTATGCGAGGACCTATTCCGCACTCACCACGACTTTGATAACAAAAATCAGCAATGATTGCATATATAGTTTCGAGTCAATGATATGATATTAAATTCACTGAGTATTGCAACGTTTATAGAGCCTTAAAAGAAAGAAAAAAGAAATTGGAACAGTCCAGCAAAGTGATCACAATAACGATTTGTAAAATAAGTTCACTGCCACTCAAACGACTTGTGCTCCACAAAGAGCGCCAATATTCCAAATGTGAATGTGTACAGCTATGTGAAAAGTACTTATAACGTAATTATATTTACATAATATTAATTAGAGTTATGTAAAACTAAATAGCATGTAATAATATTAAGAATGGTATACAGATGTAGGGTACACATTAAAAACCATTGATTGCAGAGCTATTATATTCCAGACAAGAAAAAATTTATGCCTGCTCATTTGTATATTATACGTAAATCTTAGCACAAAAATAAGTGTTTCTCTGGTAAAAGATGCTCCTTCTAATTGAAATGATTTTTCCGTAATGATGTTTATTTGACAAAAAAAAGAAAAGTATTTTAAAAATTTTTAGTTCACTT